TAAATACAATTTTGATAAATTTTTGTATTAATAACTGACACAAATTAATGTGCAATCATCCAATTAAAAATACCCGTAAGTGCACGAATCTATTGAGGTATAGATTATGTAAGTACGGAGTCGATCCCACGAGGAACTGTCGGCTTATTTGAGTACGTAAAGAACACTTATTTAACAAAACACAAATGCAAAAAAATACAAAAAGGAAACTAAAGAATGAGTAAAGAAAGGTAAAAGAAAGGAAAGAAAACAAGAAACCAAAGAAAAACACAAACAGCAAATTCTATCGCCTGTTTATCACCTATTTATCACCTGTGAACAGTGCCATAAACAGTGACGACCGGTCGCTTTTTGGCAGGTTCGTTTCTCTGTTTTTCAGTTTCGACCTCTGTCCAGTTTTTGACCTATAACTTTCCAACCGTTTGTCCAAATTTCACGTTTTTTATACAGTTGGATTCAGCACATAAAATGGAAGAACACATCGTATACCAAGAGTAAAAAACAATTACGGAAACAAACGAAATTTAGTGAAGAAAACACACAACGTTTCAAATACACACACACACACACAAATTGGGGTGGGGGGTGGGGGGGTGTTGATTTGATTTGAGTGACCTATTTCTAATGCTTAAATGTAAATGAACTCTAATTTTAACAAGAATAGAAGGAATGGAAAATCAAAATGTGAAAGTAAAATGTAACAAACACTAGGGTTTCAGAATCCACCCAAAACAATCCTACCATGTTCATGGACACTCAAGTGATGAACTTTAAATGTGTTGATGAAGATGTTCGCAATCAAGACCAGGTCTAGTGGCTCAAGACACATTGATTCTCTCTAATATAAGTAGAGTGCAAGGCTAGTGCTACAATACTCGTGCCTTCCCTATAACCAAATCTAGGTGTGCTTAGTACTTCGATTCAATTACAAGAAAAACCCATTAAGGTCAAAGAGAATATGAACATCACAAGAATCCTAATAGTATGATGTTTACATTAGGCATTCAAGAAACCAATTCACATGGATGATTCTTACTTCATCCATTTGTTGCTTTGGAAAACATGAGAATACACATAATCCCAACAACCTCAAGAAGCATGCTTTCAAAGGTGATCAATCAAAGAAAAACATACATCCACTACTACAAAAATCGCAATAGACGACGGTAATCCACGTCATGTATCCGGTTTTTCAACCGTCGTGAAATCGACTGACATCTTTTGATGCATAAAACGACGACGGCAAATCCCCGTCGTCTATTATTTGTAAAGATGATGCTTTTACTCAAAACTGTCGTCTATTATATGTAAAGACGACAGTTTTTTTGAAAGAACTGTCGTTGTTTTGTTATATAGACGATGGCTTGTGACAAAAAATCGTCGTTGTTTAGAGGTAAGGACGACGTTTTTGTTAAAACCATCGTTAATTGTAGGCAAAATACAACGGTTTTTATTTAAAACTGTCTTTAATTGTATAGAAAGATGACGATTTTTTGTTAAAAAATGTATGTAAAGACGACGGTTTTTTGTTAAAAATCATTGTTGATTGTATGTAAAGATGATGGTTTTTACAATAAAACCATAGTTGATTACATTTTAGTTCAGTCATCTAATAACACTACTACAATTATGGAAAACCACGACCCGTAATAGACGACCGTAAAACTAAAAGAGGGATTATTATCTATAAAATATTTATATAAGGATTACGAACTCCACCATCATACGTACCTTTCCCCCCCTTGGATGATGATACATGGAAATTGTGGATATGGTCTGGATATGACGGAACCCGGGGCATACCTTCAATTTGGTGAAGAAATAAAGGTCTTCACCTGTGGCTAAGTTGTGTCCACCATATTCATGCCATATATCCCATGGCTCTATCTTACCATAAAGATCCATTTCTGGAATAACATTTTCATACATAAAGGATGTGCCACGAACCTTGTTAAGAAGATAATATCCCAATAACTGATCATCTCTTGGACGAAATTTAAAACCAACTGGAAGATTAACAACAGACTCAGAAGGTGCCATATATAAGCTATATAGCAGGTTCCTCTTCGACTTTTGTTGAGAAGAGAAGATTAAAGATGATCTTGGTGTCTTGGAATGGAAAGAAAATGAGTATGTAGGCTGGTTGGCAGAGAGAGGGTGTTGGTGTTGGATTCTTTAATATGGAGGCGATTCTGTAATGAGTTTCTTGGGGTTTTGTGAGAGCCGTCTTCCTTCCATTCCTATATATATAGGAGTGCGTATTAGGGCAATTGGAAGCTAAACCTTATACGGGGAGGATTTGTGTAGTGATATCCGTCCGTGATTTATGGGGGAATATGCATCACCAAACTTTAATTCCCTAACCACCCTTTCTCCTTCTTCTTCCACTTCAAACCCTAAAAAATAAAACCAAAGGTGCTTTAAAAGGCGCAAATACAAATTACGACTATTCATTTCTAATACCGTCGTCTTTTAAAACGCACTGGACAAAAATTTCATCTAACTTCTAACTTTTCACGTACAGCTCTCTCTCTCAAACACTCACTCTCGCGACCTTTTCAGAAAACCCTCTCTCCCTCTCTCAAACACCATCTCCATTGCGCCATCTTGGTTACGAGCTCGCCATCCGGGTCATAGATCGCCCCATCCAAGTCACTGAGGTCGCCATCTTGGTTTCAATATCGCGCTAACTCTCTAGCTATCTTCACTCTGGCTCTCTCGACGGCCCTCTCTCGATGGCTCTCTCTTGCCGGCGCCCTCTGTAACATCCCGGTCCGAAAAAGAAATAAAATAATTAAATTATGATGAAATAAATTTGAATGAGGAAATTGGTTGAAATAAACAATAAAAATAAAGTGATTTGAATTAATTAAGGGTTTTGAAAATAATAAATATTTACATAATTTTAAAAAAGGGGCAAAAATGTCATTTTAAGTTCGGGAAGGAATTTGGGACTTCCGGTTATACTGTTGCGTAGAGCACATCGAAACGAGTGCGTAGACACGTAACGGACTCGAATCCGAGTTATAACGAGAGATATACGAGAAAAATTGAAGGAGGGGCAAAATTGTAATTTTGAAAAACTGGTTTTAAAACCAGATTTGAGACGCCGGAATCTCGTCGGAAAACTGCCAAAAACGCGCTGGTTTTTGACAGAACTTCCAGCTGCTTGTTCTCCCTAATTTCTCCACCAAATTGGACGTGTAAGGTATGGATTTCCACCTATTTTTCCTGATCTAGCTGCTGGTTGGGTAGGATTGCTTCAATTTGTAGCGTAGGCAAGTCGATTTTCGAGTTGAAAAATCTGCCAGTTTCGAACTCCGTTTTCAGCCACTTCCGTTGACTTTTTGGGGTATGTCCAAGAACAAAAGTGGCTCCAAATTAGGTGTATTACTTAGGGTAGGAGTCTTGGCTCGAGATTCTGAGATTTTCCGGCGATGCGATATCGCTTTGGACACCCACGCGCTGCCAGCGCGTGTGGCGGCGCATGGGCACTGTATCAGAGGGGCATTTTTATCCCAATGCGATCCCCTGGTTGTCACGGGCACGTAGGATTTTACGGATCTCAATTCGGATAACGTTTGAACCCCGAATGGATTTTACATATTGTGTGATTTCCGGGTTCGATATGTTAGAACCGTTGGATCGC